ATGCAAAGACAGAGCTCCTTCTACTGAAACTGAAACAATAGGTGTAAGAGCATAATTTTAAGCAGTAATTTAAGCAGTAATTTAAAAGATGGAATGTTAAACAATAATAACTCAACCAGCTTTAAGCACAAAATAACTTTTCCTGCCTCTTCTTTCCTTCTTTTTTTTTTTTCTTCAGCATTTTCCCATAACTTTATAAGTTAAAAAAAGTTCCCTTCTCAATAATAAAGAAAAAGCTTTGAAAATACATTAAAAATGTCACTAAGGGCACTGTAGATGACTAATGAGTGATTTGGAAAGGATGAGTGCAATGTTTAGTCTTATAAGTCTTATATTTATTGACTGTACTTTTACCTTTTATTTATTTTTTGATTGACCTTTTTTGAGATATAAGAATTACTCTGTGCCTGTCACTATGTTTATGAGGTTTTGGTGCTAGAGATTAATGGATGAAGATATGCCACAAAATATTTTTTCTCTTTCCTTATTATATTTTAATAAGATTTAAGGAGGAAATAAGTCACTGCTACCAGTGCTTCATCTATGCTAATGGCAGCCTGCATACTTGCAGTTACTTGCAGGAATCAGTTTTCCTTTTTTATCACAAACTTGGAATCTACAAACTTGTTTTAAACAGAAAACCCAACTATTTCTATGAATAATAACTTGTGCTTAAAATGTACATTTTTATAATTGCATTGGTTAAATGTTTGGGTTAATTTAAATTAGGCAACAATCTCATATACTTAACAAAATAATTCATAATAAGCCCTTCACAGGAAATAAACAAATTAGGATATTTGGAAATTTCGTGAAGAATTGAATGGTAAAGAAAAACAAACCCACAACTTGGATCCTTCCTCTTGACAGAACTAAGAAAAGATAGTTTCAAATTTTAGCGTAATATCCAGAGAATAAACCACATTTGATATCTCAGCAACAGGCACAAACTTGGCATTTCAGTGAGAGCAAATGACATTGAGCAGGACTTTGTATGATTATACATTTCTGGTGAGTGATAACTAATGAAGCAGTCTCATGCTCATGAAGTGAAACTGGTGACAAAAGGGGAAAGAATGCAACTGGCAAGATCATGGAGGCAGGGAAGGAGGACCTGCATCTCACACACATTAGCTCAATTTATCCTGGCCTGGATCAGCAATAGTGCAGCCAGCAGGACCAGGGTAGTGATTGACCCCTGCACTCAGCGCTGGTGAGGCCACACCTGGAATCCTCTGTCCAGCTCTCGGCCCCTTTGTGCAAGAAGCTCATTGAGGTGCTGGAGTGTGTCCAGAGAAGGGCAACAGAGCTGGGGAAGGGTCCAGAAGTCATGAAGAACAGCTGGGGGAGCTGAGGTTGTTCAGCCTGGAGAAAAGGAGGCTCAGGGGAGACCTTATTGCTCTCTACACCAGCCTGAAAGGAGGCTGTCGAGAAATGAGGATCAGTCCTTTCTCCCAGGCAGCTGGTGACAGGACAAGAAGAAATGGCTTCACATTGAGCCAGAGGAGATTTAGGCTGGATCTTACAAAAAATATCTTCAATGAAAGGCTGGTTGGAATAAGCTGCCTAGGGCAGTGATGTAATCACTATCCTGAAAGTATTGAAAAAGCATGTAGATATGGCATTTGAAAACATGATTTAGGGCTGAACATGGCAATCTCAGGTTAACAGCTAGACTCAATGATGTGAGTGGTCAATTCCAACCTCAATGATTCTATGACTCTATGTGCTTTAAAGGAAAAAAAAGGCAAAAAATTAAAAGAAAAGAGACATTTCAATGTTTTTGCAGAAGAAAATGTCTCTTGTAACTTATTAGACAAATCTGCTCACTGTGTATAGGCTTCTAATAGAAACCTAGTGAGTTAATTAAGACAGAAATTTTCATATCTAATGTGGAGAGAAATAAAATCTCAGGTAAGATAATTTTAGAATTACTTACAAAAGCATTTTACAAATCTGAATTGCTAAAGTCAGAAAGAAAAAATGTGTGATTATCCAGCTTTTGGTTTAGAATTCAGGCCCTTGAACTCTGTCTCACTTTTACCTTTTTTGTTTAGATTAGTATTTTTCACAGGTTTACAAGTACTGTCTCTCTGCTTCCAGAAACCACAATTTTATACATTTTTCTCAATTATTTGGTTCTCAATGGCAGGTAGATTCTTTCTTCTCTTCCCTCTTTGCCTCTTCCTTTTAAATTTCATCTTCTCTCCTGTCTCCTCTCCTGTCAATGTGTGGGCTTCTGCTTTTCCAAAATTGCAGTAATTTGATTTATTTACTTCTGCAATGAAGGAGAATTTTTATGAACAGTTACAGTATCTCAGCTGACATAGAATGAATTTTTAGCTCTATCAATTTGTTTATCTGTCTAAGTCTTCTAAATAAAGTCTATTTATTTCTTTTTAAGATTTTTTCAAATATTTTAAATGTCTAGTGGAGTACATATGTTATAATCTGTCTCTTATTGGAGGCATCAAACCACACACTTTAGTTTCTTCATCAGTAGTGTCATTGAAACTATCAGAACAGTTTACATACCTGAGCTTCAACCAGAGCCTTATAAATCTTATTTCTCAGAGAGGTATCAATACCACTTATTACTCTTCAGTCTCTGAACTGCCACATTGCTCTCTGTGTGCCTCAGTTTCCATGCCTTCATTTTTCTTCCTCTCTCAGGGGACATCTACAAGACTACATAGCTGTCAGAACTACCACTAGACCAGTGCTAAATGATCTAAGATGAAGGATTCTCAGAGACAGAGCTGTTCTTATAGCATGCAAGAATATTAGTGTGGGAGAGAAGAGAGAAAAAAAGACTAACTCTGTAGGTTGCTCTTCAAACATTTGTCATAGATATGCAACATAGACATTCATGGAGATTCTAGTCCCAGGAAACTTGAGATAAATGCACAAAAGGGATACAATTTTCAGTGGAATCACTGGAAAAAAACTCTCAAATTGCTCCAGTATATCTGGGTTTTGCATATACACAGGGAAATTAAATTCAAGTTCTGGCTCCAAAACTCTTTCATGGGAACAAGTGACTCTGTTCCTTGTGAGTGGTGTAGCTGGGGGTTGATCTTATTTTTCATGGATAAAGGAGATTATGAAAATATCTTAATGTAATAAAATTAAAACCTCAAATACATGGATCTTTGTAGCAGACAGGAAGGTACATACCTCTGCTTAGAACAGAAATATAAGTACCTGAGTCATACTCTATTTTTTTCTGTTTTATACACAGAACATCTGTGAGTCTTTGCACAGCCTCTTAGTTCTTACCATGAGATCTGCATGAGAAGTTTGGTTTGATGGATGTCCCCTCTAATTAGGTTATGCAGAGCTGATTTTACCCTGCCTTAATTTTTTTTTTTTTTTTTTTTTTTTTTTTTTTTTGGGAAATACTCCAATGAAACATAGTTCAACACAGCCTAAGGTACTACAGATCAGAAGAACCACCAACCTCTTCAACTGTGTTCCTCTAGTGCTCAGTAAATGTAATGTCATTAAACAGAGCTATGTTGGAATGTAAAGGAGGTCAAGCAGGTTGCAGACCTGAATTTGGCCATACGGCACTCTTGGAGACTGTTACCATTGCTCAGCTGATACACAGTAATTAAACTGAATTTCATTGTGTGTACATCCTTTAAATGCTTCCTAAATCTCTCAGAAAGGTTCTGGCAGGATGTTATGTACTGCTGTACTGCTTTCCTGCCTCTACCACACTTTTACAATTATAACCAGATTTCTTCTTTGGTTCAGTACTGCCCTTAACATTCTTATTGTTTTCCATAGCTACAAGTCATGATCTGTATTCTCTTCCTGTTGTGAAACCTGTCAGAGTATGTGTCTGTCTGATTAGCAACATCAGACTCATGTCTTCTCTTTCTATAGTTGAACATACTCCATTGTGAGGATGCAGGGGAATTGAGTTTCTGATGTCTTGTACAACACTGTGAAGATTAATGTACACTGCTGAACCTCTGACTACAGGAGTTCCCACTGGACAACATGATGGGAATAGAAGGATATTTTGTTATTTATGGCCATGACATTATGTTCTAGGTTCACACACCACAGTACAAAGCAGTTGTTCTACTCAGAGAAGTTACTTACAGAAATTATGTAGGTGGAATAGGAGAAAGGCAAAAATTAATTGATCAAAATTAAACATCCCACGACTATTCCTAAGAAAGCATGTTGTTTGGCAATTACATTAAAATACTTCCCAAAAACTTGCACCTTGCAGATATGTGCTACTCTGCATGATTCTGAATGTCAGGTGCTTTCAGTGGTTCTCACCTCCACCTAGTTTCCAGGCATTCTATAAAATTCTCAATATGGCTGTGTAATATATTTCTGCTGTGATTCCTGGTATTTGTCATGATCAGACACTGAGCTGGGTTAAAAGGCAGTAACTACAATACTTGCACGTATAGTTTCTCTTAGATGTCAGGCTGCATCTTTCACACCCTTTTATCTCCCTTGCCCTGCTATTTTCTTTCTGTGGTGAAAGATTTTCCAATGGCTCTACTTTGCTCTTGGTCTTTACTGTCATAGGGCTTTTTAACATGCAGGTTGAAGCTCTTGTTTCCATAACTAGAGCCAACAGAGGAGGTTTCATCCTGAAGTTGCTTTAATGATAAAGCAATATCTTCTCAGCAATTCAGCAGTATTTCAGAAGGGCATCAGAAATTTTTAAAAAAATGGCCTGTTGAATAGGCTGCACTGGATTTTAGAGCCACTCCTGCTAGATTTCACCTGAGATATATTGGTATTATTGATCTAGTTTTAAGTGGAATTTTAGAATTTTAGAATAAAAGTATTTTCTGAGATAAAAATTAGTTTGAAACTAATGCATGAGACAGAGCACAAGATGAATAGAGAGGATTTTTTTTTTTCACAAAAGCCCTATGAAAACAATTTGTATGTGTTTGCACACTCAAATCAAAAAGAAAAAAAAAGGAAAAGAAAAATAAAAAGCCTTGGATGCAGTGTAGTTAGCGCTAGAGTCTCTATCACAGTACCAATTCTGAGCTGTCAGAAGGCTGCTCTATTTTATTCTTTTTTTTCTCTCTCTATGTGACACATTTTAGCTTTCTACAAAAAGGGAATAAAGGGGAAGCGGCTCTGGCTAGCCTTGGAAAAGCTATTTAGCTTGCATATTGTGGAACTGTCTTCCCTAGCTAGTTAGTGCCATTTTATAACACTGCAGCATATTGGATCAAAGACTAGAACTGCCACCTCCTGTTTACAGTGGGCTGGAGCAGTCACAGAATTGTCAGGGCTACTTTCTGTCTCGGTGTGATTGGAAATAAGACTGAAAACGGTAGGTTGCTACCAACAGGTTAATTTCTTTTTTTATTATTTAATTTTTGGCTTTCACCTGCAATGTCAATGCAAGTAAAGCTAAAATATTTAACCCAGCAGGGCAAGTGTCTTTTTTAATCCTTTCAAACATTCTTGAGTATACCTGGGATAACAGGCACAAATATGCATGCAATACTATTGCTTCAGAGAGAATTTCAAAGGCAAAACCATAGATCCAGGAAAAAAAAAAACCTAAAAATAATCCTTAAAGTGTGTTCTAGATTTTTAGTATATGCTATACTGAGACAAGTGCTGTTAGACTGCATAAACACTATGTCCCAAGGCTTAACACTCAGAAAGATTATATTTGTAGCTCTACCAGTACCAAATTTTTGTGAGAGTCATCAGTGATTTTCATTTTGCAGTGACAATATGGTGTTTAAAAATATCAATTCACTGATACGAATACTTCCCTTTAAAGGTGAAATTTTATTCCAAGTATCCAGGAGGTGTTATCTGGGGGTTCTGGTAGTATAAGAAGAATTTGGCAGGCAAATTTCTAGTTTATATATCTGATTTACCTTTCCAGCTTAAAGAAATTAATTTTGTTGCTTATACTCACAGAAAAGAGACACAGAGCAGAGAGACAACAGACTGCAATTTTAACAGTGGAGTAAAATACAAACTTTTAGATTACCATCACTGTGTCTGTTAATGCAGGTATCTTAGCAAGAAGATGTGCACAAGCCTCTAAAATTACGTTTTTGAGAGACAAAAGAAACACAAACAAGAAACATGGGTACTCACCATGTTCTTATAACACCAGCTAAGGTAAGAGACCTGTGTCTTTCTTCTGTGTCACTTGTATCCCTTAAAGAATCTCATTCCTTTTCCTGCATGTGCCTTTTGCAAGACCTAGGAATTGCATCATTGCTCCCATTTAGTGTTTCTAGTTGGTTATATTAGGGGTGCACACTGTGATGTGAAAAATAATGGGATAAAGATGAAGCTGATCTGCTTTTTCTTTCTTACAGTGGGCTTTGACGTATGCTGAGATCAGAGAGCAAGATGCATGCTGCATCATGGGACCAAGGATCTTATGAGGATATTTGGTATCTATAATATACCATCTGTATGTGATTTAAGTCACTCTCAGAGGTGCAACCCTTTTGTTTACTTATTCTGTGTGTTTTTACTGAAAAGCTGACTTGTATGTGCAAGCATCATTTTGTGGACTCAGTGACGACTTAAGGACTATTGCCTAAAGACTTCTAAGGGGCTTTTGCAGTTTGTACAGATCCCCTTTTTCCATCAAGGTCTTCTACAACCAAATAGAACTGCTTATATTTTTAGTTCCAGAAGTTTCTACTTTAATCATGATGGTGACTGTGCATCCATCACCTCATGCATACTGGGTGTGTAATATTTAAAGGGATTAAACTTTGACAATACTGTTTCCTTAGGTCTCACAATGCTGTATGTAAAATAAAGGAGTATGAACTATTCAGTACCTTATTTATATATGAAACTATTCAGTACACTTACTTACTTACTTATATGGTCTGGTATATTGGAAAAAATTTTTGACACACTGATAAGTACATATTTTGTAGAAATTTTACAAAATGGGATCAAAAGTTGTATTTGCATCTCCCTTCCTATAATTTTTGTGCTTTTGTGAAAGAAAGGATACATATATATATATGCAAAGTATTTGGGACTGAAAAGTATAGAAATTTTTTCTTAAATATTTTATATACTTTCTGCATTGAGAGATCCTTAGGTTAAATGCTGAAATCTCTTCAGTATTTTTCCTAAACTCCTCTTCAAAAATGAAGAGACAAAAGACTTTGTATTTTGGGTCTGTTAATTCAAACAAGAAATAATGTCAATGGAAACTAATTAATGAAAAAAAACCAAAACTGGTGCTCAGAACATAAATGGGACTTAGAAATGCAGCTCCTAGAATTTCCAGCCTGGTTCAGTTAGACTATCATAATAGAGTGACTATAATTACTACCTAGTTATAACTGTATCTTTTCATTAATTACCTTTTCTCACAGACATGTAGGCTCACACATTTATGCATTATGATTCAGGCCATGCTTTTTATTATTCTTTTTTAAACCTTGGTATCCTTGTGTGCATTTGCTCAAAAGAGAAGCTAAGACAAACCATTTACTTTCTCTGTATTGACCAAAATTTAATAAATTTGTGAACTTACTTCACACCTGCACATCAGACCCACTTCAAATAACATTCTAGTACCATTCCTGATACTCATTCTTGCCTTGTATATTGATTTTAAATATCTTCTTCTAGTTCCTCTCTATGTGAAACTGTTTAAAATAAAGAAAGGAAAGAACTCTGGTGGTTACAGGAGCCCTCCAGAATAGCTTTCTCTGACACAAGTCCTCATTTGGAGAAATTATTTCACATTAATGATTCAACTCTCATGGAATTTTGGAAATATTTCACCATGTAACTGAAAAGAACTACTTTGCAAGGAGAGGAACTATGTTCTTGCCATGTAGTGGACAGGTGATTACAGTCAGCCATTTCTTTCCTCTTTTCTTCTAGCTGCAATCTCCAAGTCCTGTTTTAGAAATATTACCCCAGAGGAGGGGAAAAAAATCCCTGAAATGTTTGTTAGATAAAATGCATTATTTAAAAAAAAGAAAATACATTAATTTGAATACTGTTACTTAGGCAACATCAGAGCTTCAGCATAGCTATCACTTACTCAGAAGGAAAATGGCTCCAAGTACATGTAAATGTAGTTCATGTAATTTCTTTATGGTTTTGGAAAGCAACCAGTTAATCTCAGACCACCTGGTCAGGCTCTCTCTTGTTTTTGCATCTAACTACTTAGTTTCACATCTGGTACAGTTGAGAAAAAATAAGGGAAAAAAGGTCTAGCTGGGTTGCTTTCCCTCTTCATAAGAGTAAAGTCAGGCATTCCTTAACTATTTCACCTGTGATTTGGATTTCATTTTTCTTTTCAGAGAACAGACTTGTTGGGATGATGACTTTAAAATCCCTTGCCTATGTTGATATTTATAAACCACAGAGGGCGGAGGTTAAGCTCTGGCCCTGTTTTCAACGGCTTCTCTCATCAGCCAAGGTCAGGAGCTGAGCTCCTGCGGGACCTTGGGTTCACAGTTTTATTGCCAATGAGCAATGCCTTGAAACTGCATCCAGTTCTGCACTTCAGAAGTTTATGTGGTGCTGTTTTTAGTATCTTGATTAAAACTTAGTAGTAAACATAAAGTAACTCTCCTGTCACTATATATTTTCAAGTTTTACTATTTTTTCACCACTCCTGTTTATGATCAGAGTAATAAATGCACCTCTGCAGGTTTTTCCCTGACATTTTATGCTTCTGACTTCATTAATAAAATCTGCTATAGAAATGCTAAAACAATGTCTCAGGCAGTTAAATAAGCAGAATGACCTTATTAAATAGGTGTTTTTCAATATTTAAAAGTAAGACATTTTTTAGATAAAATATGCAATTCACCAGTTTGGTGTTCACATACTTTTCTTTTTTCTTTTTTAACTCAGTAAAAGACAATCCAGAATAGCTCACCTCCACCTGCAAATAAATGTGGAAAGAAGCAGCCTGGACAGATTTACCCTTACAGAACATAATTATGATAATAGCTACACATAGATTTATTTAAGATTATTCCTATTCTTGGCATTTTCTTAAAGATTTGTGGAACTCTTAGCCTTTCCCCTTCCTTTTTTTCTCCTGGTAGTGCAGTGGGATGATCAGGTTCAGTGTCTAATGAGGCAGCCATTCCGAACACGTAGAGACAAAGAAGAGGTTTCCCTGGCAACGAGGACCATGCCAGAGCTCTCAGAACAGTTATTTTCCCCGTATTCAGGTTCCTTTTCTGTTTAGGATGCCTATTAGTGTGAGTTCACAGGCAATTCCTGGCAAGCTTTTCAGAGATTACAGCTCCTAAATATACATAACAAAATAAAACTAAGGCTATGATTTATGAGTAAACTAAAAAGTGGTAAACTGACATATATTTTTTCCAGTTTTATATTTTTTTGTAGAATCTTAAAACAATTATGACTGTTCATTATATATGTCTAAAGCTATTAAATACACTGCCCATATCTCTTTAGAGCTTTACTGGTCTCAACAAAATTTGTGGGAGTTCACTGAATTCTGAGCCATATTTCTGCTATCGCTAGAAAAAGCACTGATTGAGGTTTTAGATCTAAAACATGCATTAATTTAAGCACATATAGATGTGATGAAATATTTAGAACTGTATGTAATATTTCTTGAATTTAAACCTCAGTTTAAATGTAGAGAAAATTTACAGTAATAAAGTATTGAAATGTTAGATATGTTTTACTATTTAAAAGCAAAATGAATTTACAATGAAATTAAATTCTTTAGTTCAAATCTTTACTTGCATCTGAAATGTATAAGCCTTTTACAATGAAGACTTCTGTAATCAGATTAAGAGATAAGCTTTTCCACATCCTTACAAGTTCTTGAGAGAACTGAGAATATTGCTACACCACCTATTCCAAAGCTTGGTCATTATCCTGAAATCATTCATGCAGGGATCCAACTCAGCTGGGAGTTTTGATCTGGAAAGTGTTTTCAAAGTGAACCTGCTCACACACCTTAAACATATAACAGCAGTTTCTACTTTATGTAGATCAGAAGCATTAATCTCATGTCCATGATATCCACTGGAAATATGGATACATATTCAATATGTATCAATACAATAGTTCGGGTTGGAGGGGACCTACAAAAATCAGCTAGTCCACCTGATAAAAACATCTATTTAATTCTACCTTTATCAAGTGAGAATTCAAACCAACCAGCTTTTTTTCCTTCTTTCTCCCTTCCTCCCTCCCCTTCTCTTTCTGTCATTCCTTCTGTCCTCTTGTCCTAAACAGCCTTGTGACTACATCACTGTATGAAGGAATGGACAGCAAGTGTATGAATATTCTGAGGCAATAGAAAGGACTCTATCTGGACAGTACTGCAACCAGCTGACTTTTACTGCAGTCATCATTTCTTCTGTCAGTAGCTGAACTTCTAAATAATTTATCCAGCTCATTAAAAAAAAAAAATTATATGTATATATATATATATATATATATATATATATATATATATATATATATATATATATATATATCCTGAGCACATTAAAGTTCTCCAAGTTAAAATTCAAGCATTAGGATCCCAAGAGGAAAAAACCTCCCTACAGCCTAGAGTAAAGAACATAAAAGGCAGAATTTAATCTCTCTCTCTTCATTAATTACTGTTGGTGATCTGTAGGAAGCTACATAGCATCTATGCATACTGAGTGGAGTCCTGCTTATTTAGAGAAAACCCTAGGCAGGTGCTTCCACTGGGATGTTAAACAGATGGCAACTAACTCCTTGGTCTGTGAGACAGGAAGGTTTTCTGACTATCCTGGAAAAAATAGGAGCCTTAGAAACAAGCTCTGCAAAGTTCCTTGTATCTGGTTCTCATACACTAACCAAATCACTTGTCACAAGTTCAGCTGGGATTGATAGGCCTGGGAAGATATTACTTGGCTCTTCTTTATATCTTGTCTCATATCAATTCCCTTGTAATATGTAAAGTTAAAGTAGTTGCAAAATAGTGAGAAACTAAGGAAGAAAAATAAAAATGAGAAATAGGAGTAAAAATGAATTAAAAAGTGGGATCTTGCTTCGAGCCTGTAAGGAAGATATTTTTATTTTTTTTCCTGTGAAGATTGCAAAGGAAACTCATTTCAGCTTTGTAAGACCACAACGATTTCTTCAGACACAAAATGAATCAAGCCTCTTGTTGGATTATGTGGGTGGTATTTCCACTCTTCCCTAGTGGGATAATTCACAGCCTGCAGCTGTGGCATGAAAACTTAAATATTTTTTCTCTTTCTGTCTGGATTTAAAAGGAAGGACCTGCATTCATTTGCTGTTTTAAAGAAAAAGGAAAAAAAAAATGAAGGCCCATTAAAGATTAGTAGTGTGAAACAGAGCAGCCATAAAACAAAACTGCATAAACAAAGAAGGAATTAATTTGCATCTTTTTAAGCAGCTTTAGTATAGTATTTGAAAGTGAATGAGAAGATATGTACTTGCCCAGGTGTATTAGTAACAAGATAATGGTTGTGAACAACCCCTTTTGTACTTTTAAGAATCATGACTCTTTACTTACCTCCTCTTGAAGAATTGTTTTTATTTTAAACAACAAAATTTTTAGTATTATTATTACCTATTCAAACAAATTTCTTGGATTCTTTGTGTGCAATTCAAACAAATTAGATAATACATAAAATATAAATTTGCTATTCTATATCATTAAACCACTTTGCAAATTGCCAGCTGAACTTCACTTCCAAGTACATTTTTATTAGTCTAGAAATATTTTCCCCAAGGGAAAACAAAAAAGAACAAAAAAACCAAAACAAAACAAAAACAAAAACAAAAAACCAAAACAAAATCCAGAGCAACAAAAAACAACCCCAAACAAGTAAAACTTGAATTCAATGTTTCTCTCCTTGCTAATACAACATAAAGTTGATCTTCCATGACACATTTTTTAAAAGCTGCTTTAAAGTTTTTCCATACCCTGTAAATTATTTTCTTTCCTTAATAGCTTGTTGTACTGTTTGCCAGTACGATTAGGAAATCACTATTAACACTTAAGCTAATTAAGGTTTTGAGAAAACATTGGTTACGTTGTTCTCATTAGCAGACTTTAAAAAAATACTATTCAGATATATGAAAAAGAAGATTGCTTTTAAATCTCAAGAAATGAATGTAAGTGTTCATATTCTGGTACATTAACAGTTTGTTCCAGTACATTGATATTTTATGTGGAAATCCTGCTCTGCAATTAATATGCCTGATGCAAATTGAAAAACCCATAATCCATCCTTTTCTGTTGCAATGTAAGAGCATACTATTATTGAGAAGCTACAGGGTATCAGAACCATTTTTTAAAGTCGAATGCCCATTACCTTAAATCTGCATATAAAATAGTTTGCTTTCAGAGTAGGTAATATATAACTGACTTTATCATGATATACATGAAAATATAACAAAAAACAATAATAACAATAATAATAATAATTAGTCCAGAGTGTTTCTCCTCCACAAAGACAATTGCATCTTATAGCATTAGTAAATAAAAATAGCTTAAGATTAAACACAAAAACTTAATGAAATATCTGGCCATTCTAGACAATGAGATATCTGCAATATCTGCATGATCACCTAATGTATTAAGTTTGAAAAATTGTGATTATTATTACCTTTCTGGAAATTTCCTAAATCTACTGAAAAGCAAAAGTTATATTTTTGAACATATAATGTAAGTTAATAATTGTGTAAATGTAAATAAAATATGTCAATGCCACTTACTATCCCCTGGAGACATTTTCAGTTGAGGTGATTGCTAATGATTAATTGATACTGAGATACCCTTTCCTGATCAGCTGTGGATCATATATTATGAAGGAGCAGGGTTCTGGTGGGTTGATCCTGGCTGGATGACAGGTGCTGAAAAAGCCATTCTCTCAATACCCTCCTCTGCTGGACACAGGGAGAGGAAATATTAGGAATGGTTCATGGGATAAGAACAGAAAGGATCACTCACAAATTACTGTCACAGGTAAAACAGTTTCAGTGTGGGGAAATTAGTTTGATTTAGTGTAAATGAAATCAGAGAAAGACAATGAGAAATAAAAATACATATTAAAGAACATCTCTCCCCCACCCCTCCCTTCTTTCCAGGCTCAACTTAATTTCTAAATTCTCTATCTCCTTCTCAAAAGTAACGCAGGCAGATAGAGAATGTTGTTGTCAGTTCAACACACATCGTCTCTGTCATTCCTTTCTCCTCAGAAGAAGGACTCCTTCACAAACTTCTCCACAGGAGTCCTTCCCACAGGCTGAAATTCTTCACAAACTGGTCCAGCATGGGTCCCTTCCACAGGATGCAGTCCTTCAGTAGCAGTTCAGCAGTGGATTTCTCACAGGGTCGCAAACCCTGTCACCATACATGTTCCAGCTTGGTCTCCTCTCTCCATGGGGCCACAAGGCCCTTCAAGGAACCTGATCCAGCTTGGACTTCCCACAGTTACAGCTTCCTTTGGGCAGATCCACCCAGTCTGACATGGGGTTCTCCACAGGCTGCGGGTGAATCTCCGCTTCCCTATGAGCCTCCATGGAGTGCAGAGGCACATTCTGCCTCAAAATGGGCTGCACCATGGGCTGCAGAGGAATCTCTGGTGCCTGGAGCACATCCTCCTCCTCCTTCACTCACCTTGGTGTCAGCAGAGTTGTTTCTCTCACATATTCTCACTCATCTCTCTGGCTGAAATTGTCCATACACAGTTCACCACCCATTCTTAATGGTTACACCCAAAGTTGCCAGACTCTGCCTTGGCCAGCCATGGGTCTGCCTTGGAGATCACTGGCATTGGCTCTGTCAAATGTAAGGGAACCTTCTGGCAGTTTCTTATAGAAGCCACTCCTGTAGCTCCCTGCTACCAACACCTTGATATGCAAACACTATTCCACACCTTGCCATTGTCAATCACATATTTAAAATTTATCATAAAAATCCACATTCCTTACACAATGTTCACAAACCTCAATCACATCATTCACATCTACAAAAAAAATTCCCCACACCAAAATCAAAACAACATCACAACACCAAACAAGTTGCTGATCTAGCAATTTTCTCATTAACAATGATGACAAGGTCTCCTTGCAACGAGCAGCACGGCAACTTCCTGCAGATTTATACAGACTGCTGGATACTCCACCTGCTAGTACTCTTACTTTAGGTAAAGGGAAATTAAGAACTCATGTATCAAATACCCTGAAAACGCTTTTAAAGCCAGAAAAAAAGGTTTAATACAACAAAATAAACAATGTGCAGCAATACATTTATTCCATGTAGAGACACCACCTTTATGTCTGCCATAGAAATCAAGAGATTTTGCTATCTGGTTCAAGCAGCAAAAGTAGTTGGGATACTGCACAAGATTGCAAAATAAAAGTCTTCTTTCAAAGGATTGTTCTCTGAACAGAATACCCTTTCTGTACATACAGGCAGCTTTCTGGAGACAGAATATTTGTGAGACCATATTCAGAATTCATTCTATCTTTCTTCAGGAGATAGGTTTAATTGTCTTTCATTCTACAGAAATGTGGAAGGCCAGACTTAAAATGTACTACCGTCATTCGTATATTACAGACCTATCTTGAGCTGGTCTGTATACAGAATATTCAAACCACTGCTCCAGCACTTACCTGGCAACAAATAGTTCATACTTTCTTTCTTTATTTCTTCATACTCTGAAAACAAGGTTTCTTACAAGCGTATGTAGTAATAACACAATCTTGCAGGAGCAATTAA